AACCCCAAGTGCATTAATACCCTCTCTTAGCCCTGATCCACTTTAACTTCAGGTCTTCACAGCACTAAACTCTTCTGTTTTGTACTGGAGTAATACATTAGCTGCTTCAGCCCATTTTAAGTGTCCCTGTTTTAGCATGATGGAGAGAAACTAAAGTCACATCCACTGTTAAAGTTAAGGTCATGCAAGGAACCTCTATGGCTCAACACAGTTGTAGCATCCCAAATTAAATATGCCTGGTAGGTTTTCCATGTTTCCTGCAGCACATATTCCTCCCAGTCCTGTATATCCATTCCCAGGGGAGCAGCAAGGCTCACTTTCTCTCTGCAATGGATAATAAAGCCAAGCCATGCAGCACCACTGCCAAATGTGCACAGAAAACATGGCAGGAGAGCAAGGAGGAGCAGGCATCCCCATCATCTATCCCAGCAGTTCCCTTTGTGATATGTTACATGTTAAGAACAGCAGATGACAAGTCTTGCACACAGCAAGCCTCACCACAGCAGCATTATGCTGCTATCAGTTATCTCCTCCACCCTGAGGAACAACTGCCATTAGTATGGGGTGGGAGGCACCACAGCTGATGCTGCAGCAGTGATGCTAAGACCCACGTCCTGCTTGGTGGCTCTCTTGGTTCTATGGATCATTTCCCTACAGAAAGGAACAGGTTTTGGGTCCAGAACCAGTGTTTGTCCACAGTTGTGTGATTTCAAAGCTTCTTACTGGAGTTTGGAAGCTTGGGTAGTTTCCTTCCCTCCTTGATTTTACCCAGCACTGAAAGCAGAAGCAATGGGGAGTCCTGCCCAGGCCACTTTAGAGGATCTCTTATCAATGGGATCCAAGCATCACAAATTAGAGTGGCAGTCCCCTAAGGAACAGGCAGACACCTTTTCATTCCCTGGACGCTGATGCTTGCCTGGACCTGCCATTCAAGATCTATATAACAGTGTGCGATTTACACTTCACCGTACAGGTGCCTTTTCAATCAATGGGAGAATCAGAATTCTGCCTTACAAAGCATAAAAAGCACAGAGAAACAGAGGGAAGAAGGACCTCGTGGAGTAATTGATTTGCATTCTTCCTTGCTTGGAAACAGGGTGATGTGATTGCCTGGGTACATGCAGGCAGCTGCTTGGCTGCTGGGCAGTGCTGGCACTTTAGAATAGCAAAACCCCAAACCCAGTGGCCATTCCTTTGCTTCCTGCACCAGATCTTTCACTCCTTAAGCTGCCTTTTGGTGGCAAAGGCAGTAGACCCTTCACTTGTTCATAGTGCAGCATTCAGGACCCTGAGCCAGCAAAAAAAGTGCCTGCTCCTCCCATAACCAAGAGAGGAAGCAATTTCTTTGTGAGTTGGCTTTAATGCAATTATCTCTGGAAGAAAGGAGTTGCAAATAGGATTAGGTTGTCATGCTCAATGTATGGCAGCAATTGTCAGCATGCCCAGATCCTCTGCAGCAGCTTTTGGCAGCTGCTGTCAAGAAAACATCTGCTGGTATGGAAGGGGTGAAACAAAGCTCTTGTCTCCACATCACCACAGGGGCTCCGCTAGCTCATCATCCCTGTTTGCCCATCCCTGTGCTGCAGCCAGGGCTGGCAGGGGGATACAGCTCTGCTCACATCTGCTGTGGCGAGACTCAGTGCCATGAGGACACAAATAACCAGCTTGGAGCTTTCTCCACAAGAAGATAGGTCCTGGCCCATTGCAGTCACACAGTGGGTGAGCTCTTTACCAAGAGACTTCCAACTGAACACCTGGCTAGCAGAAAGCATGTAAAACCTCACTAAATCAGGCAAAGAAAAGGTGCTGAGGAGCCAGGTAGGGTGAACTGGCAGCAAGCACACACAGGTTCGCAGTTTGCATGTGCTGATGCTTGGATCTTTGCCGTGAAAGCTAAAACCACCATGGAAAATGAGGTGGCAGGAGGAAAAACAGGCATCACCAAGCTTTGGAGCAAGGACAGGGAACCCCTTCACTGGGTCCCATCTCTTTCAGAGTAGCATAAGAGGCTCCCAGCCTATCTTGCTGCTCTGACTGGAGACACAGCCCAATAGTTTGGGAACTGCCATTCCCAGCCTCCTACCCCAGCAGGGCTCAAACAAGGGTGGGGAAGCAGCATGTGCAGGCCAAAGTTCTCTGCCTTTTAGCTACGTATTGCTCCCCGCCTTGTAAGTGGTTTCTATTTGTTTTAACACTTTCCTCTTCCATCTCCTGCATTTTATCTGCTACTTTAAATCTTTGTTAGTGAATAGGTTCTTAGTAGAATCATTAAGTTCCATTCAACTCATCCAAATGCAAACCATTAGCTTTATTTGTTGCTTAGTTTCCTTATCGGCATTGATGTTATCTGCCTGTTCCTGTTGTAAAATAGAAGTTTCCTTATTGGGGGGAAGAAAGCACACTGCTGAAGGCAGAGGTTCCTTGTGTTCTTATGCAGACGGAGAAGGATCCTTCCAGAAAGTGAGCGGGGATGAAACTGCACCAGAAACAGCTTCCTTACCCCAAATAAGTCTGCAAGAGGATGGGAACAAAGATGAGCAGCACTGAACTGCCGCCGTGGAGAAGCATGTTTGCCATCAGATCCCATTCTGAGAATTTACAGGCATAAAAAGCACTCAAATAGCTTAAGTTTAGGGGAATTTAACATTTTGTGTGAAAGCTGGCAGAACAGGGATTTTACCAATCTCTTTTGGCTGGGAAAAGCCTGATTCACACAAAATCACAGCCCTTGCTAAGTTTATGATCAGCCAGAAGAGAGCTGTGATTGCAGCAGTTACTAAGGGATGGCTTATTGCTGCAGGCTAAAGTCAAACCAAGGAATTGGGCTGTCTTTGAAGCAAGATTACAGGGTTTGCAACCCTAAGCCTGGCTCAGAGAGCTGCTGTGAAGCCAGGAACAGCAGCAGGATGAGCACAGCCTTGCTCCAGGATAGCACAAGCACATGGCAAGCTTTAGGGCTTAGCTCAGGGGACAGCACCAGTCCTCACAGGTCCTCTTCTCACCTGGTTTTAACTACTCATTACCATTACAGGGCTGCAAGCAAAGCAATTAACTCTGCTTCAGATCCACTGCTAAGCCTACAGCAAGATGAAGACCTAACCTCCACCTGCTGCTCTGTTTATTGAGGCTCCATGTGCTATGAGAAGGACTCTCAAAGGAGATGACTTCTGCATTACAGTTCACTAGAGCAGTCCTAGAGAGTCCATGAACAAACTTAGATTAATCAGTTTAGATGAGACTGACAGTACAGAGCAGCAGGGCCTGACCGGAAACAAATATGCTTTGAACATTTGATAGAGAAAACATGGAGCATACAGAGAGTTTAGTTCCTTGATGCCACTTGGCATCAAGAGTTGTACATACCAGCCCAGTCACAAGCTCTACCAGGTATAATGAGCACTAATAGCACTCAACCTGAATATTGATTGTCGCAGGCAGGATTATAAACCCTTTAATACATCTTTCAAGAGAGTATTTCTGAGTAATTACAAGATTCTTTAAGGAGTGCACAAAAACCACTCAATTCTGTAAGAACAAGTGTTCTGCCAGGGCAGAACTTGCAGGGCCAGCAGCAGAACTCAAAAAGAACCCTTACAACACCTTCCTGGCTCAGTACTGCTACAGCTCATCACAGACAACAGAAAGGACACAGTCATACCCACCACATTATGAAATATAAGGCTTTCCCCATCATCTATTCAATGAATATTCTCAGCTATACTCTTTCCCCAGCACCTCACTCATCAAACCGACATGAAACTCACCTCTTCCAGCAAGCCCAAAAAACACCTGACCCTTAATTGCTGCCTTATAAAGCCCCTCAGGTGGTTAAGGAGATTCAGGTGGGCCCCAAGTAATTTGCTGCTTCTGCATATAAAGAGGAGCTCAAGAGCCACCCCCTCATTCTGCTGCAAGGAAAGAACAGGAGAGAGGAAGGAAGGGTAAGGAAAGCCTGTGCTATTATTAAGTTTCTAGGGCAAGGCAATTCACTCTGTTAGAAGTTGTATGCTTCTGCACTGGCACTCGGTGAAGTGGTGTTTTTAGGGTAAGTCTGTAAATGCAAGGATTTTTCCCTGCCTTACACCTACAAGGGTAGGAACAGAGAAAATGAACAGAAAACAAGTTATAGAGCAATTATGTAGCTGAGTAAGGGCTCTGCAGAAATTCTTCAGGTCATAATGTGATGCTTCATTTAGTGACCTTGTGTAGGGAAGGGTAGACTATTAGGGAGTCATAAGACAGATTTAAGCAGAGGGTTCAATGGGGCAGATAGATCCTCAGTAATTACTGAGCTGTGCTGCAGGATTTCTTATGTGTGGGTTTGTGATACTGGAAATGGCAGCTGAAGCATATTTAAAGTGAAGTAAAAGCAGGCCTGGCTCAGCTTCTTCACATGGGGGTTTGGGGAGAGCTGTTCCTTGTGGCTTTTTCAGGCTTTTCTCAGTGAAAAAGCTGAAACTGAAATGTGTAGGAAAAGCAGGCTGAAGGGGCAGTGTGTGGCTGTGTGCTCTATTCATGCCCTTATTGCTCCTGGCAGATTCTAGGATGCTGTTGAAGGCTTCCTGGCATGGTGAGCTTGCCTTTCATGCTTGCAGAGTTTGATCCTTCTTCTAATTGAATTGGTTTTTACTTATATTGAGCATAAATCTTGCTGTGCCCCCAGTGGATATAAGCAGGTCATTGGCTTTCTCCCTTCCATTTGTCACCTCTTTAGTGCAAGGGCAGATGCTGTCCCAGTATACTTCCTCCTTGTGAGGTGCCCCTCTGGGGGCCTGATGCTGAAGAAATAAGGGTGAGGATGCTGGATGAGTTCATGTCCTCCCTGTTGCCAAAGTTTGGGCTAATAAGATCTGCAGTCAGAAAATGGAAGGCATGTTGTCCTCAAGTCTAATCTAATCTTTCTATGCTAACCAAAGGAGGTGGTTTTGGGGCTACGTGGTTCTCTTCCGATGCTTTTTGTAGCCTTTCTGTTGTTATAGAAGGCTTCTGTTCTCCATTTCAAGCTCCTTGTATATGAATTCAACAGGTTTCTCTGCTTCCTCTATTTCTGCCCCAAGGACAGGTAGGGTTATTGAGGCAAGCTGATTTATTGGTGCTTTGTACAGTGAGGGCTTCATGTTCCACAAGGGTCCTGGGCTGAGAGGGATGTGCAGGAGAGCTGATGTCCTCAAATGCACTTGGGGTTTCTAGCAGCTGATGGAGCTTTGTTGTTTCTTTGTAATACTGCTCACTGAAGGCGTTGGAAAAACACGACAGATCCCTGATGGCTTGTTTCAAAGCAAGAAATGCATAAATGCCAATTTAGGGGAATAATTGGAAAAATAAATACAAATTAAGCTTGTTTCCTTTTCATTTAGATTTCAGTACTCAACTCCCACTTTCATCTCTTCAAAGCTTAGTTTCCAAGCCACTTTTTGCTGGGGAAAAAAAGAGAATTTAAACTCCATGCATGTAAGAGAAACCACGGCATGTTGCCTGTATGTTGATGAGCACCTCTCAAATATTTATGCTTTGGATTTGGCTCATTGAACTTCTCTAAACAGGGGTTCTTGTCCCAGCCCTTGAAGCTGGGCAAACCTGATGGATGCATTCAAAAGGGAGCAGAAGGAATGTCTTTTTGCATTAAGATTTTAAGAGTTTCCATTTTTTTCCCCCAAAGAGCACTGCAGACTGAGATTTCCTGTTCTTTTATGCGAGAAATGAGCAATTTGAAGAATATTTGTAAACCAATAACCTTTTTATTATTTGAGAGCTTATTCTGCACCTGTAACCAATGTGGCTTACTTTTAGGTTAGATTTAAAGAAGAAATTCTTTACTGTGAGAGCGGTGAGGCATTGGAACAGGCTGTGCAAGCTTCATCCCTGGCAGTGTTCAAGGCCAGGCTGGATGGGGCTTGAAGCAACCTGCTCTAGTGGAAGATGTCCTTGCACATGGCAGGGGGGTGGAACTGCAGGAGCTTTAAGGTCTTTCCAACCCAAACCATTCCATGATTTACCTGCTTATGCCACAGTCATGAGCATTTTGAATGTGCCCTGTTGCTTCAGCAGGCTATGTCTAATTGTGTCTAGGTGCTATGGAAATGTGTATATATAGTGCTATTGATGGATGGATGGATTTGTGCTTGCTTCCTGGTATAAATTAGCTTTTCCAACCTCATTGCAGGTTGGATATAAACACATTCTGGGTGTGTGTTTTCCAGCACTGTCAGTAAACTCCAGAGGGATCATTATTTTTCCTTTATAATTATAGTCAACTGAGGTTGGAGTGGGTCAAAGCTGTGTTGAAACCACTTGATAGGTGAGGGAAGCTCGACAGCCCTGTGACTGCATCCATCTTAGCAAGTAATCCCTGCTCCACCCCAGGCACCTCATGAAAGCCTCCACCAGTGGTACCCTGCACTCAGAGCATGACTTTGCAGCTGCAAAATCTGGGTCTGAGTGGGGATGATTAAGAATTAGGGATAAAAGAGAGGAAAAATGACTTGGAGCTCTCAGATGTGATACATGGGTAGGGAAAAACAGTCTGCAAATTCCTTGGCTGAATCCAGTGCAGTGGCAAGGTCTGTGCTGGTGCATGTGTTTGCTTTCAGAACTAAGTGGTGTGCTGCAAATAAACCATGCAGCCATTAGGGCTTTTTCCATCACCCTAATGGAAACAGCTGATTAGGAAGCTTTTTTAGGAGAGTGAGAAGGAAATGCTGTGCAATGGCCTGACCTAAGCAGCTGGAATAGATGATGACAGGCCAGTGGAGGATCTGCATATGATGCTCTTGGGAATGCTTCTTAAAGCTATGCAAGCTTCCCACTTCTCAGGATTGCTGGCTGTGATGGAAGACAGAGCAAAGGTGGTGGTTTAAGGCTTATAGACCCGTTTTGATTATGCATTTACTTTGTAGGCAAGCTCCTTAAAAGTTCCCCCAGCAAGGGGGCATGAACTTCTGTCTCTGTATCCTGATACTTGGTGATGGCTGTTTACTGCCCTGCAAGGAGAGGGGTTGATGCCAGCCTAGTTTCTTGAGTCCTTTGGTGTTAAAGTAACTGCAGTTGCTATGTGAGTCTGTCAATATGGGACTGGATGTTCAGTCGAGTGCTTTTAGCCCTCTACTGTGACAAAGCCTTGGGAGACAAGATAAACAAAACCAGGGTACTCAAAGCAAGATCTTTATTTCAGCTACTTTTCCAAACAGCTGTGGGTGGGTGAGGTACAGCAGTGAAGCAGTTTGCCTTAGCAAGAACTTGTCATGTATGCTTCATACGAATGGCCTGGGATGCAAGCTGGGAAAGGAGGAACTGGGGGACATGGTGTTTCTTGCTCCTGCATGGACCTTTTGACTGTTATGTCAGTCCTTTTTTAGGAGGAAAGCAACTAAATGGCCTAAAATATCACTGCTGCAGGAAAGCACGTTTTTTCTTTCCAGTTCTATTTTCCAGAAGTGAGGCTGTTGTAAGGTGGGAATTTTCAGACATGAGCATGGCCTCAAATTCCAGCTTGGCAATGAGCACTCTGAAATTGGATTTAAGGCAGGGCCTAGAGTTTCCCTTAAAATGGGAAATGCCCACATTCCCAGGCATCTTGTATGCTCTTGTGTATTGGTAGAAGTACAGAAGTCTAGCAAACGATGTCCCTTAGAAAAAGCTTTGCCAGATTGCTATGCTGTTACTTATTCACTCCTAGCATTATGCTCTCAGAATATTACATGAAAAGGAACAAAAATGTAACTTGGGGTAAATGCACTGTGCAAGATAATGTTCTTAACACTGGTGAGTTCTTGCCTACCTGAGTGGAGCAGACCTGGTGTAGGTGCTTATCAGCAATGCTGCACACTGCAAAGATACTTGAGCATTGTTGTATGAGTAGCAACATCCCTTAACCAGCACCCAAGTAACGGGTGTCTGAGGAGGATCCTTAGATATAGTTAAAATGTCTTCTCTAAAGCAGAGCAAAGTTGAAGTTTTGCTACTAATTTAGCAAACTCTTTGGGGATGTTACTGGGGACCTGTATAGGGCTGCAGAACCGGGGCCTTCTGCATGTGTCTTCCCCAGGGTACGTAAGGCACTGTCAGTACTTGCATCACCTTGAAACAGTCACCTCCATCCATACACGTGTCCCTGGCATGGACAGACAACCCTAAAGCAGGCCAGGAGGTCTGTGGGCATTCCAAGTGGAACTAGACATATGGGCTTCTAAGAGGGAAGACACTAATGTATCTGCCAAAGCTTTGAGCCTAATGCTGATGAATGGCTACTCTACAGCTGGCTTGATTAAATAGCCATTGAAGGTAATGTAAACATCAGACTCCTCACTATAGATGGCATTTTCTCTCTCCCGCTTGAACATCCTCACCCAGACCTCATCTCCTTCCTGCAGGTCCAGCATCAGGCTCTGGCTCTGCATGATGCTCCGGTCGCTGGGCTGGGCATAGAGGATGGCCACCTCTTTCTCATTCTTCATCAAGTGCAGGTAGGTCTCCTTGAAGTTCCAGGTGTGGACATTGAGGCTGAAGTAGTAGATTCCTGCCACGTAGCAGAAGAACTTCCCCGAGAACATGTTGAAGTGCTTGTAGAGGTTCACAAACTCGGTGTCAAAAACGACTTGCTGGAAGTAGTCTGAGCTGTGAAGGGGTTTTCTCCGACCCACTGAGAATGCAGCATAGAGCTGCTTGCAGGAATGACCTTGTGGGCCAGGCTGGCCTTTCTGTCCTTTCCTTCCATTAAAGCCACGTAGCCCTCTTTCTCCTTCCTTCCCAACTGGTCCAGGGTACCCTTTTTCTCCCATTTCTCCCTTCTCACCTGCAAGCATGAAGGAAAACCTAGTCAAACGCAAGCATGTGAAGTCCAAGTTGCAAATACATACATCCTGCTGGAGGCAAACAGCAAAGCAGCTCCTAAAACACTGTTTATCCAGCGCAGATATCTGGAAACATTGGTCAGACACCAGCACTTTCCTGTTTCTTGAAAGGATAAAAACGCCAGGGGAAGGCTTGGCTCCACTGAGCTGTGTCAGTGTTCAGTAGCAGAACTTCATGCCCTGACCAGATGGGTTACATGAAGCCAGTGTTCATGACCCCAGCTGCTTAGTGCAGGGTTTATAGCATTAAGTCATTGATTTTTTTGAGCTCGGAATTGGGCCTGGTCAAGGTGGTTGGCTTTGTCTGATCTGTGTGCTCCCACTCACAGGATTCCTGGCACATCTCCCATTTTGTATAGATGATGTTTGTTTGTCTGCCTCAGTGAGATACAAAATATGCAGAGGAAAAAGTGAGTGAGCATCTTTCCTAGTTTCTAAGTCTACTGTTTAGTAATTCCATGATGACCTTTGTAAATGTGTTTTAGTGAGCTGAGCTTCAGTGATTCTGGTTTTTTTATTGTGGATTAGAACCTTTTGCCAACTCTTCTGCTTGCACGCATTTACAGCCTGGGTAAATAAAGTGGATGAGTTTTTTGGTGTAGGGAGGAGCAGAGCATACAAAATGAGGGTGAGCAAGTAAGATGCAGGATGTTATCCCAGTAGTCAGCTCTACCCACCTTTGAGGATGGTGATGTCTATAGTGGGCTGGACTTTGGGTACCGAATAGGCAGGGTCACTGCTCATCCTTGTGTATCGTGAGGAGATGATGGAGATGGGCTGCTCTGAAGGCCCACAGCATCTCACACATGACAGGCGCCGTGGTTCTCCTCTTGGAAGACCCTTTTCCAGCGCAGCACCGACATTCACAGTGGACACCAAGAACAGGAGAAGCACAGGGCTCATCTTCAGCAGAGCCAGCTGGACCAGGCAAAGGAATAGACGTTATTAACACAGTGATTCAGATCAGAGCTTCTGATGGGCCATCTGTTAATGCTACCACAGGGTGCAATTCTTCTGATTAATTATTAGCTTACCCTGTAGTGGCACCAGGAGACACCAGGTAGGAAGGGGGCCCCACTGTGTAGTGTTTACAAGCAATGGAGAAGGTAATCCCTGCCTCTCATTACCTGCAGTTGAAATACCCGACAAGGGAGGCCAGGTAAACAAAAGGGGAAAACCAAACCCCAACCTGGTGATATCAGAAGCTAAGGCTGAGATGCTTGGAGCTGTCATAGCGAGCTCTGCTCAAGGCATGCTCGCTGCCCGGCTGCTCTTGGGCCAGCCCTTGTAAAAGGTTCTGTTGGTTATTACGTCACCATCCTGAAAAACTCAATCACATGCAGAAAATGGATCTTTATTTCAATATTGAGCCTAAACATGTTGGTTTGGTTTGGTTTGGGGTTCTTTGAGGGAAAATCTGGAGGGAAATGAAACTAAAAGGATTCAAAAGCACTTCTCTTTAGCCTCTCACAGCTTCTTGTTGATAACCTCTTTCCAAGGTGACTTCACCAAGCAGTCTGTGGCTTTGTTCATACTCGTGTGGTCTTCCCATCAGATTTTGCTTACTTTTTCCCTTTTTATTATCCAGTGTTCAGAATGGAAACCCAAATAGCTGCAACAACCAGGTGAAACTCAGATTTGCTTTGCATAGACACTGGGTTTTGAGTTAATTTCACCTGCTACTGGTGAGCTCTGAAGGCCCTGAATACTGGGTGAAATGAACAGAAAGGAAACGTTTCAGGCTGTGCAAAGGAGGCGAGTTTTCTCTAGCTCTCCATCAGCCCCCTTCCTAGGGAGGGATTGGAGCAGGAGATTGGCAACTGCCCCCCTCATACCATGTGTAATTAGTGTCATTCTACTGATTGCAGCGGTGTTTCATAGGAGACCCATTTTGGACCAGTGCTTTTTTGGGTCTCATCCAAAGTCTGATTAGTCAGGTGGACTCTTGCTGACCTCAGGCTGGGAACAGCTTTTACAGCTCCTTTTCTACCCACTCTAATTCCTGGAATAGGTGAGGATGGCAGTAGCTAGATGTGACTTCAGAAATAGCTCGGTGAACACACGGGTCCCATCTGCAGAGGGTGGCAGGGCATCCTGTGCCTTGGAGCTCTGCATAGGCTTTGCTGGGCACAAAATGGACCCACTGAGTAAATATGAAAAGCAGGTGTCAGTGTAGGCAAGGTACTTGGATTGTAGCAGCATTCTTAGGAGACATTTTCTTCTAGTTCTTACCTGCCCTGTAAGACCTGTTATTCACACATTTTATTACTTGGTGTAATCCAGCTCCCTGGAAACCTGATGAATACTCATTAGCAGCAACATAACTACTTCCCTCCTGACAGCAGTGAAAGTTCTTTCATCAAATCTGTCATAACTTGAAATGATCTTTCTTATTCATAATGGTACCTCATTCTAGGTGCAAGTCTGAGGAGGAATCGATGTTCCTTTTATATCAGTGGTTAGGGCCTGAATTTCATTTTCATTAAGTCCTTTTTAATTTTCATTCCCTTCTTAAGCCAACTTTGCGCTACCAAACAGGAACAGAAATACACTGTAAGTCTAAATGGAGAGCAGGTCATAAATAACCAGTGACCAGAACAGAAAGTTTCCACTGCAAAGAGCTTTTGGGGTGTGCATGATGCTTCTGGGGTCTCCTCTGCAGTGATTTAAGTTTGTGCATGTACATAATGGTCTAAAGAAAACCCAAAGTTCACTCCGAGCTCCAGGCAATCAGGGACAATATATCCTCTTTGGGACTAAAAGCTATTTAATCCTCAGGAGAGTGGGTAGTCAATAACCTGGGGATAAAGTACAGGGCAATTGATTACATTATCAGAACATTAAAACCGGAGGATGTAATTGCTCATAATACCTTCATGAAGGAGAAAGAGCATTCATTAAGAGGGGTATTCATCATGGGCAGAAGGGAAAAGGATTCATAAATATGAAGAAATTACATTTTTATAGGCCATTATTCTCCCTTTGACTTTCCTGTTTTTAGAAGAGACTTAACGGGGAAGGGGGAGGAAGTCTGGGTGAAAAATCAGTGTCAGATTGCACGCATTTCGCACTACAGTAATGCAAGTACCCATTGAAGAAATTGTGGCCACTTGCATGGTTCATGAAGAGCAATTACTCAAGTTATTGGATAGGAAATGCATTTGGGCAGGGGGGAAGGCAAGTGATGCAACAACCCAATCCATTCACACCCGCACCACGTTTTCCTTCAACAGTTAGTGAAGTTAGTTCACTGATGTGGCAGAAATGTGGATTTGGTCGCAGTATCTGCAGTTGGGTAACCCCTTAATGATATATGTGAATAAGCAAGAGTTTCAGATGTGTAGTCTGCTCAGAATGGACAAAGGACAGGAGAAGCAGTAAAATAAGAGGTGGAGAGAAAGGAGTCCAAAAGGACTGCAAGAAAGGAATGATGTATTCAGCAGTATGGGACTATGTTTGAAAGCCAGTACAAACCAGGGCATCAGGTGAAGGAGAACCTCAAAGCTGAGAAATTGAATGTGCCAGAGGAAAGGAAACAAGATCTTGTCAGTGTGGAGAAAAGAATGATTTGAGCCAAATTTCAGAGGAGGAGCAAATATAACTCTAGTGGTGGTGAAGGCAAATCTGACGCTTTAAGACAAAAGATACAGAAAGGATGAAGCTCAGAATTTAAGATCTGTAAGGTAAAGCAAGAGGATGGCTTTAGCCATTTGACCTTGAAGATAATTATTGTGATCTTCTCTTGTCAAACACAGCAATGATGAAGTTGACTTCAGCTGCACAGGTTTATTGTTGGGAGCCAGCAAAAGAGCTGGGCTTTGCTGTGCTATGGCCATGACTCGCCAGGCAGAGGCTGGGCTGCTGCTTCTGCACATTGTTCAGATCCCCACACCAGAGGGACATCCATCCTTCTTCCCACCATGATCCAGCATGCTGGTGCCTGAAATGATGCATTAGTACTGCACTGGATGCCTCAAGGATACAAAACTGAATACATTCCTCTTGGTCATCCTTCATGGCACCTCTGTAGAACTGGACAGGAGCATTCTGAAAGCAGCTGGAGGTATAAATCATTGTCTTCCATAGAAGGGATCTGCAAATCACAACCTGCTTCAATTCGGGAATCTTGGTTTTCCTATCCAATAGGAAAACCTGGAGCTGCTGACAGCCATGCAGACATCCCAATGGCTGGGGGGAAAACTGGTCTCCTGTCTTTGAGAACTTTGCAGACTGTCAGTGTTTCACTCAAGGACAAGAAGAGGATCTCCAGCATTCCTCTCTCAAACCAGCTTTTCCAGCTCAGCTTCTTTGGCTCTGCTGTAGCTTGGGTTCATTTAGAAACAGCTGATTGACAATGGATGAGCTTGAAATGCTTCCAAAGCTTGGAGTGATATGTAGAAGCATGTAAAGTGTTTTGATGCTTCTGATGCTGCTTGGAGAATGCTTGTGAAGCAAAATGAACACACTGGTTGCAATCAGTAGTGTCAAGATGCATTACTCTTCCCATAATATCTGCAAGTGGAACCACGATGGTACCCAGCAACCAAGCGTGGATTTAATTTGATGCTAAGGAAATCCTGCATGTGCTAAAAGGGCAAATTGGTCTTTTGGGCAATATTTTGGCAAACAAAATGAGGATTTATCAATGATGAAATGAGATGCATAACCCTGATGAAAAGGCAGCTAATTTCAGTGTGTCTAGGTGATGAGGCTGGCTGGTGGTTGTGTTCATTATGACATTGGAATACATGTTGTTGTTGGAGAGGTGTTTAAACATAATGAAAGGCTGCTTTGACTGAAACCATCATTTAGCTAAAGCTTAAAAGCATCTGTTTGCTCTTTCTGTTCCTTTTTTCCCCTGTTCAAAATATTACCAAAAGGACTTGTTTGTTCAGGTACTTGTGTGGCCCAAAACAAGAAGGAAAGGCAAGTGAAAATAGCAGTCTTCTTGCATTAAAGTCAAGCACTCCTGTTTTTCAGACTCCTTTGAAAGGGGCATCTCTGTCTTTGAGTAATACAAACCCCATGCTGGCTGCTGTCTCAAAGTGCTGGTGAGGATGCAGCACCCAAGCCAGGGGCACTGTTGTCTACCACGCTCAATCCAAGGCACAACAGATGATTAAATACCATATATTTGCTCTGACCTTGAAGTACCCCAACTTAAATGTAATCCATCAAGCTTTTTATCTACACATTTTTCCCTGTTACGAATAACCTGCATCAAAAGTGTTGGTTTTCCAGTGACATTTGACCTTCCTGATGCCTGCCAGCTAAAAAAGCCAAACTCCTCCCATGCAGGGCTTTAGAGATGCCACAGCCCTTTGCTGGAGAAGGGCAGAAACCACTAGTTCTAGTTCAGGAGTTAAATGATGTGATTCTTTCTTCTTGTGTGTAACTTATTACAATATATATTCTTGACACTATTACAGCTGGAGAGAGCACCTTGATTGATTTTATTTGGCTCATGATTGAGTTCAATCTTATAGCTCGAGGTAGACAGCTTATGTATGAGGTGCATTTGCTCATGCAAAGCTTTTTAATCATTCTGTGTACCTGCAGGATTTTAACACTTTGCTATAAAGTAATTTATTTTGGCAGTAGAAGTGATAAGAAATCCTCATAATGTCTGCAAAACCAGCAACTTGCTCTGCACACAAGGGAAAATAAAGCAAAGCAAGAAGGCGAAGCTGGATCTAAAGCTTTCTGTATGGTGAGCAATGTGGAGTTTACAACCTGAACCTTCACCTTGGCCAAACCTTGTCTGGTCCATTCCACTGGAAGCAGCCCCTGTGGGATGTATAGGTCACGTCCAAGGTACAGACCTACCGTGATCTATCCTGCCTGTGTTTTCACTGGCTACAGTGGAACTGTGTCCTCGCCTTGCAGGGATGTTCAATAAATAAACCCCATTCATAACTGCGCTGAGCTCTCACGCTGCGATATTGGGAGTTCACGAGGCAGAAATTGCTCTTGGATCCCTGAGCTGCACTTTAAATTTCTGCTAGTGCTTTCCTCCTTCTTATTCCTAGGGCTGCACTGAGCAAAGCAGTCTATGACTACCCTTGCTTTAAATGCACGGTGCACAAGGCAACACCAGCCACTGCCCTTTCTAATCAGTGATAAATCTGGGCCTGAAAACCCAAGAGGGCAGTTAAGACTAAAACCATTTTTGCACCTCAGGGATGGAAAACACATGGATGTGTCAGCCACCTCGGCTTTGTTCCAGCCATGGAGAATGTTCTGGCTTTTTACCTTTTGTCTTCTTTCCAGCCTCATCCTCCTGACTGCTCCAGAGCTCCTTGATCAGCAGCAGCAGGAAATGAAGCATCGTTAGGGTTGGGTTTGTCTGGACTCAAACTTCCTCTTGGAAGTGACTTGCTTGGGATTTGTCTTAATTTCTTCCCCAGGAGGACCTAAAGTTTCTTTGAGCAATTTATTGTAGAAAGCCCAAAACACTGCAGGAGCCTGTGCATTTTCCAAGGTAAAGCTGTGGCAGCTCAGGGGTTCCTTTGCCCGGAGGGCAGCTCCTCTCTGACACTATTCCATAGGGATGCTTCACTCGAGCTGAGCATCAGGAGCCTGTCTGCAGCCATGAAGTGACTTCAGGGCTTGGAGACAAACGTATTTGGATGTCAAAAAGCTATGTGGTTTGAAAGTTTCCACTGTCTGTAGTGGTTTGCAGATGACCAATGTTAACGCCCTCTTGTCCATGGTGTTTATACAAGGCACTGAAGTGAAGAGGAGGGATGGAGAGTGCTGCCAGAGCCAGCCCTGGGTTGGTTGAGCCTTGCCAGATCTGAGCAGGGCAGGAATGGAGGCAAAGCCAGGATCTAGCCATGGAGAGGTCCAGGGTGTTTTTGCTGCATCCATATTTATAACGGCTCGGGTGCACTCTTGGTCAGTGAGTTTGTAGCTCCATTTCTAACTAGGTGCTTTGGTTTTTGTTTTCTGGTGCTTTTGTAGCGTGTGCCTGTTTCCAGTGTGGGTGAATTGCCCTCAATTCCTCTGTCCCCATGAGCAGCAGTGGCTCATGTGGTTACCACGTGCTGTCTCCAGCTGAGATTTCACCGATCAGGTATGGCAAAAGATAAGCATTCCAAGCAAACATCTCTTCCTATTACCAGCACATGCATGGACCTGGGGGTTGTATGGATTTAACGCAGTCCCCTGCAGACCCTGTGGGAGGAGAGGCTGTGCCTGTTTGGAAACAGGCACTGGGTACCTGCATCTTTGCATGGCACTGCCTTTCCTGGTGTGCGACAGGGGTTATCACGCTTAGAGCAAGGATGCTTGTTGGTTCCAAAGCAAACAACTCTCCTCTCTCCTTCTTATCCCTGCCTGCAATTCCAGTGCCAGGAACATGCCTGCAATGTCCTGGAAACGGCCCTGCTCTGGGCTGGGTGGCTCCTTGAAAGCAATCCCATCTCTGTGGCAAGCCCAGGCTGTGATTCAGCCCAGCGCTGCTGAGGCATAAAGGGTGTTACAGTAAGTCATTCCCAGGGCAGCTTCTCTGATAGAGCAGCTCACTCTGGCGAAGTGGATGGCTCCCAGCCCTCCTCACCCTTCCCAGAGGAAAAGCAGCTTTCCTCTGCAGCTTGCTGCTGTTGACTCAATCACTCCGGGAACTTGGATTTCTGTGTGCTGAAATAAGGCAGCAGAGATGCTCCTGCAGTGGGTCCTGTCCCAGCTGGCTGGATGGGAGCACCAGGACATGGGTGCTGGCAGCATCAGGATCATCCCATCCCGGCATCGCTGCAAACCCCTCAAGAAGCACATTGCAAAGGGCAATGATGAGGCTGGAGAAAGAGAATGCCCTCAAAGTCTCCCTGTCTGTGGAAGATGCCAGGAATTGGCACTTTCCTGCCCTGGGCTCCTGCAGCAGAAGAGGCACCATCCCCATCCCACTGCTCAGCCACAGCTACAAGCAAAATTGGACTAGGAGAAAGCACTCCAGAACGATGCTACGGGTGGTTAATGGAACAAGGGATGTCAGTAGGAACAAATCAAAGCCAGCTCAGCAATAACCTGGCCTTGCACCTTGCCTGCTGCAGGGAAGCACAAAAAGCAAGACAAAGCAGAGCACCTCTTTCTCTGACTCACCCAAGCAACCTGCTTCTGCAGGTGGGAACACTTTATCCCCTATAGCCATAGTATTTTCTCCCTCCAACTCCTTCAGACCCATTTAACCTACCTTGTGACTCAGAACCCCCGTCTCTTACTTTCCTTGCTGTTGCTTAGCAGGATGCATAATATGAAAGCTGCTGTTCATTCAGGTTCTTGACTTCCCAGTAGCTGCTGCAGCTTCCTAGCTGGAGTCCAAACGAAACACTGAAAGTCAGTCCTGCTCCTTACTGAAGCCCAGCAGCTGGGTTGTTTGTCAAAGCAGGGTTTGTTTTCTCTTGCTCCTTTGCTTGCATCAACTCGTGCTGGGCTCCTGTGCTTTTGTCCTGCTATAGCTTCCTCAGGACTCCCAGCCAGTCCGTCACGTTGCACCGTGCCTCTGACAAGGATGGAAACGAAGACCAAAAGGAATCTGTGAATAAAGAAATATGTATTGAGAAAAGCACAGCCCCAAAACCACATCCAGTGTTCCAGCCAAGAGGGAAAGCGCTGGGATCACATGGAAATAATTCTGCTTTGGGTGATTTCAGCAGCTTTCCAGGCAGGAGAAAAGAGAAACAAAAATATCAACTCCACACTAAAATCTCTGGCTTTTGTGCATGAGGTGCAAAGGTGGCAAAAGCCTCTTGAAGGGGCACAGTGATGGAGACTGCCCCTGCAGTGGTGCAGGGGGAAAGTGGAAGTGAGGATGGTGCAAGTCCCTGGCTCGGGGCACAGTAGCACTGCACCAGTGAGGGATGATTTCAGTGGCCACGCTTCCTTAGCTGACGCTGTACACTTGCTCCCACATTGGTGGCTTTATCTAAAACCAGGTTTGGGTTTTTCCCTGTTGTTGTTGGGTTTAGTGGGGTTTTTATTCCTTTTTTTCTGTTTTGCAAAGCCTCCCATTGACTGTAAAAGAGGAATTTAGAAGGGATGGGTACTCCATGCAGCATGAGCTCCAGCATCATCCCCGTGCTAAGATTGAAAGCGAAAAGCACTGCTTTGATTGCCCTAAGAACATCAGGAGGGGAAAGGTGTGATTTGTCCTCTTGCAGTGCCCTTCCCTGTTTCAGGTCACAGCTTAGTGCTTTAAATACTCCTCCCCTGCAGTCCTTGTGTGCTGCCCTGCCCTGGCCCTAGCACTTCCACACCCCACCAGTCCATGGGGACACAGTGGTGCTGGCTGGGTCAGGCTTTTGGAAGCAGTCTCTGCCTTACTTAGGGAGTGATGGGAGGTGAGAGCACCTTCAAACCCTCCCTGACCCGGCCAGGCAGGGGATACCTCAGCCGAGCTCTTCCCTAGCTCTGTCCCAGCTCCTGAGTGCTCCACTCTGCTTTACCTACTGCCCAGGAGTCATCTGTCCTCCATAGCTCAGAGCAGGGAGATGGCTGTCATGGTGGGGAAGGGGTTTTGTGCATATAAAATCGGAATCAAAACAACTTTCAAAGCTGTAGGTGAGCTGGGTTAGTTAAGGGAGAGCTCAAATGGCTTGTGGATGACTTACGTTGGCGATGGTTTTATGTTGGTGGTGTTAAACAAAACTAGCAGGTGATTAAACAGACTGCAGCGTAATGGTGTTGTATTTTAATTCAACAGGCTGCATCCAGAGAGGTGAGAGGGAATAGGGCCTATTGAGGAGCAAGGGTGAGGAAAGGTTTATGTGATGCTGGGAGGCTCTGTTAACAAGGACTAGCAAGGCAAAGCATGGAGGTTTGCTGCTGTCCTGGCATGAACTTGAGCAGCATCCAACTCTCCATGAGTCATCCTCTGGCACTGGGCTCCTCCAGAGCAGGCTTCCCAGAGCACCCCCCATCCCTATCCCTGTCCCCATCCCTTCTGGCCATAGCAGTGGTCCCCAGCCCCGTGTGGATGGGCAGGAGCAGACTGCATCAAGGCAGATGCTGCCTGGAAAAGGGCACATGAAGCCCCATGCAGCAGGGGGGGGAAATGCAGCTGCAGCCTTCCCAAAGCTGCCAGGAAAAGTAAAACCTTACTCACCCTCTTTTTGGAGGGACCTCAAACAGACTCTAAGAAAAGAAATTACTTTGCCTCACAAATGCCAACCGAAAGCCTTTCCTGTCATCTCTGCTCTGGATGAAACACCAAATTTGTGTAATCTTTTCTAGCATGTTTCCCAGGCATCCTAGCATGTATTCCAGGAATCCAGGTATGCTTTCCTCTTGGCACTGCTTCTCACCTTTCATGGAAGGGAGAGGCTCTTCCATGTGTCCTGCACCGGTGCCTCCAAATCCAATGTTACGTTCTCTTACTTGGTCCCACAAACCAGTGAGTCCAGAAGCAAATGCTCTGCATTAATGGCCAGTAGAGGCACCACGTAGGTGACACCGATGCCTCTTCAGGATTGGGGTCTGTCTGCCTCCCAGAGCAGAGCAGCAGCATTTGGAGAGCTTCCTTTTAGAAAGCAATTAAAATAACCTGCTCTAGTGGAAGGAGTCCCTGCTCGTGGCAGGGGGATTGGAACTGGATGAGCTTTAAGGTCCTTTCCAATCCAAACCGGTCTGTGTTTCCATGATCTGTTAGCTCTGCTGAGACACAGGAGCTGCTTTGCATCAAGTACGTCCTTGCAACGAGAACCAGTGCAAACAAAAGCAAATGCCAAAGCTCTTAAAGCAGAGGGACGGCGCCCTGGAGATCGGAGGTTGGATCCTGGCTGTGCTGCGGATGCTGTGGGGTTTTGGGAAGGCTCCCCTCCGTCCTCCTGGGGCTGGAATGTCTCTTCTTCTATTCTTCATCACCTATTTTTAGACTTGAAGCTCTCCAAGGCAAAAAAAAAATGTATAATGGGAGTACAACCAGGCAAGAGCTCTGGTTTCACAGGAGGGTGTGAGGCCACCACAGAGAGCCTGTTTGCATGGGTGTAAAAATAGTTTATAGATGGAACTCAAAAAAAAGAACGTTTGGGGCTCCACAAATGATCTTAGCTGGTCAAAACCTGCCCCAAAAAAGGCTATATGAGAGAGTGTTATTTTTACTGTGAAACTTAGGACAGAGGGAAGATGTTGTGTTAGTCAGGGCCTGTGTCTGCAGATGAAACAGGTTTTCTGCCTCTTAAAACAGCAGCCTCCTTTCTCGAAACGATCCACACTGAGCCCATCTGCCTGCTCTCTGCTAGAAATGCAGGAAGGTATTAAACAGCATTTGGCTCTGTGATACAACATTCAGCTGGAAAACAGGCACACCAACGGTAAACTGAAGGGACGTGAACGGCCACCTCTTTTCTCTGCAGCCTTGGTGTGCTAGGGAAGTGAATGCTTCTTTTCTAATCCATTAGGTGATGCAGTGCCTTGGTTTTTAGGAGAGTGCTGGCTTCATGCTGCAGGAAGAGGAGCTTTGCCTATTTGGGAGCATGAGGATGAGCATTTATGGCTTGGAAAGGCCCCCCAGAGACACACACTGTGTGACCCTCTGCTGAACCAGGGCTGTGGGTCAGCTGCGGTGTGCCAGGATGCTGGAAACACATCGCCAGCACATTTCTGTCATAGTCACAGCTCTGCTTGTGTAAAAAGGTGCTGGGACCATCTCGGTGTCCACAGGCATGTTCATCCTTTCTTCTTCTTTGAAGTGGAGGCATATCTTTTAACTTTCAAACGCACTCTATGATGGCTGAAGTTACTTGAGTTGTAACCAGCTCTTTAACTGAAAAAGCATGTTTTGTATGGATTTTTCCACCACGCTGAACTCGGGGAGGGTGATGTGTGTTCCTGTCTCCTCCCACTCAAGGCTGGGGCTCCGTGCCATGACAACGTCTGCACCACGTGGCAGAGCCTCACACGGATGATTCCTATGGAAATCCCAAACTGCGCTCCTGGCTTTCCGCTGGGATGTCACTTTGGATCACGGCAGCCCACCCCGGCATGCACACGATGCAGCCAGAGCCCTGTGGCGGTTTGCGGACAGCCCTGATGATGCGCAGGGATGTGATTGATGCAGCTCCAAATCCAAGTGGAAAAAGTGAGGAGCAGCTCCCGGCGCACCGCTGTATCAGCCAGGCAGCCCAGAAGAGCTTTCAAAGCCTCTAATACAGTAAACCCCAGCGGGTGATAGAGTTTAATGCAATGAAGCACATATATACATGTTGGTGTGTGAGTACGTGGTGCTTTCAAGTGGCCAATTGCACAAAGCCAAAAGTAATCATGAGCTAATTGGAATCTGAAAAGCAACATGTGAATGGTAATTGGGGACTAGATAAGAATAATTAACTAAATGGCACGAAAGCTGTGATTTCACATCAGAGGGAGAAAACGTTTATGGCTAAAGCCTGGTTCTGAGGGGGCTGAAAGCTTTCTGGATGAGAAGGAATGTTGCATATAATAGGGAATGAGAAGTGGGTGTCTTTCTCCAGGCTGCTGGAGCCTTCCAGGGCTGCTCAGCAGCATTAGCAGAGGGGAAAAGAGACAACCCGGATAAATATAGGTTAATCGGTTTCACAGTGAGCCTGTCAAAGTGACAGAATCACTGATGATCTCTAATGAAGAGTTAATGGAGGGTAATTGTGGCCAATGCCAATCTGCCAGCGCTGGTGGGGAGCAGATCTCGTAGTTCTAATTTCTATCACACATCACAAGCTGTCTCTGATGCAGGTACACAGACCTTGGCAAAACACTGGTCAAAACCTTTTAACTGAAAAAAGGAAGTGAGACTAATTCAGGCTGGCATGGAAAGATGGGAGAGCACATCTGCAGTGGTGGATTGGGAATGGTCTCTCCTGATGCCTGGGATAACTCACAGTGCATGATCAGCTTCACTGTGAACCTGCTGGTGCTCTTAAAGCTGGCTCTACCTGCCCTGAGCTGCAACACTGATTCGCCATTAAACTTCACCTACAAGCTGTCAAGCTTTAGGTATTTAAGGCTCTGTTCTGAAATCTAAATTCGGAGCTCCTGAAAGGTTTGAATCTTGGTTTTGAGTTAAGCCTTTGTTAACTGGAAATGGGAGTTCACAGTGGAGATCAATAGCACCTCCATCTCTCCTTTGTATCCACCTTGCCTTTGCGGAAAAAGCAGCTTTGTTTTGCTGAATAGCCTCTTAGGCAGGATTTAGAGCATGAATTCACTTTAGACCCTGGGTTTAGGGTGATGAGCACTAGCTAATCTGGCAGGGCTTTAAGCGTGTGTTGGGAATGCTGTCTGAGCCCTTTGGGGGAGAGGTTTGTAGCCATTCTCATAGCTTCTGTCTGATGGTGAGAAGAGTGGTTGCTCAGTTCTGTGGTGCACATCATGGAGGTTTCATACCACGCAGCATAAAAACTGGCTTGCCTTTTTTGTGCAAATCCCCTCCATTACTTAGAGTAAATTTAGGCAACAGGCACTGTTCCTGCCTTTAGGCTCTCCAGTATCTCACAGTAAG